AAATTGAAAAAATTAGAGATTTGTGATGAGTTGGTATTAGATGGCAATTTCAGTCTCTAATAAGTTGGTTGGGGTTGGGATAAATTTAATTTAGAGTGAATAATGAGGAACTGATGTTGAGATGGATTTTGAAAATTTGGGATTCGGAGTTAATTTAACACTTATAACTTTGTTTTAATTGTTTGTGATATAAATTTTGCACATTTGCTATTGTAAGAGGTATTTGATATATGAAAGCACCAATGGTTGATAATTACAGAGCAAAGGTGAGAGGTAATATTGAATTATTTTTTCTTATATCGAGACATATGCTTTTTATTAAGGGAGAATTATAATTGGATCCTATCTAAAAAAATTAATTATCGCAATGTCTATTAATAATTGAACGAAACTGCATTAATAATTAGTTATATTATTAATACAATTTTAATTTAATTGTCAATAAATTTTACAGTAATTAAATTTTTTATATGAAATTTTAACGTGATTTTTTATTTTATTAATGTGTGTGTGTGTTTAACTATTTTGTTTGGGGAATACATTTGAAATTGTCTACCACGATGTTGATATCTAAAATTAATTACACAGTACTTTAATCCTTTTTCAAGCATGTTGATTATTGTGAAATGTTCGGTATTTGATGAACTTCCAAGTTGAGATACTTTTGAATATTTTCAAGCATGCTTTGGTGTATTGAATTTTTATGAAACGCGCTTAAGCTTTGGTGTATTGAATTTTTATGAAACGCGTCTAAGCTTTCAACCATATTGGGTTAACTTTGAATGATTTTATGCGATTGTAATTGTGATGCACAAAGAAAATAAGATGGTTGGTGACTAACGTAATGAATGTATGTGAGAGATTAAGACTTGACGTTCGCATAGTGACGTGACTTGACTGTGCACATAGTGGCTGACTTTTCTTGTGGTTGTCCATTACACCTTAATTTGAGTTTTGAGACTATAGGCATCTATCTCTTTTTTTAAAAAAAAGTTATATTTTGTTGGCAATGCATTTTTAGCTGGATATATTTACAGTTTAGACTCTAATTAATGATAATGAATTGCAATGGGAGAGACATGAGGGTGTAGTTAGGATAAGCATCACTTGATTTAATTGTTATTTGATGTAAGTTGTTATGATTACTAAAAACTAGCATTGCCTTATTTAAGAAATAATTTGCGAAAGGGTTATGAAGAGTAAGTATATGTATCTTAATATGGTCTGCAAGATGGATTTTATTTGATATGTTAGTGTAGATTAGAATAATTAATATACCACATGTTATTTCTTATCATTTTTAGACAAGCAGCTCGGTATTCTTACAAGGAAGGAACTGAATAACTGAGCTATTGTTTCTTCATCTCTTGATTTGACACATGTTATTTCCGTTTTATAATTTTGTTGCCATGACCCATAATTGAATTATATAGCTATTCTATTTTGGACAATTATTGGGTTTTTTTTTAATATTGTTGTGAAAATTTATGGGCGTATCGTGAACTGGTTGTCGGGCTTCAAATGTTCTAGGTCTAATTGTTTTATTTTGATATCCTAATTACTTGTTCCGGACATGTTTTTATTAAATTGTGTTTGAAATATGTTATATTTTTAGGAATATTACGTACCAGGTGCAGGTGGCTTTTTATTCTATCATATCATATCCGATAAATGTAGGTGGATTCTTATTATTTATTTATTTACAAGTTCTAAAGATTACAAAATGAGAGTTAAGTTATCTTTTAAAAAAAAAAATTGCAAATATTAATTTAAACATTTGGAAAATGAATTATATTTAACATTTAAATTTGTTATTTAGGATTAAATTTCAAAATTTGGAATTGTTCAAATAAATATTTAAAAGCATCTTTAACAATGATTAAAAATGGAGAGTGGTGGGGGTTAAAGGAAAGAATATCATGAAGAGGGTTCAATGGTCAGGAGGGATATGAACATGAAGGACGGTGGGCAAGTGCCAAGTGCAGAGTTGCAGGGATACGTTTTTTATTATGGTTGCGGAGGACAATGCAGGAAGTCCAGGTGCAATCAAAGCCCAGAACAGAATCCAAGCCCTCCCTTCCATTGTGAAAAGGAAATGCTTCGGTCCTCGTTAAAGCATCTCCTATTCTATGCTCACTCTCTTTCCTCATTAAATCTCTCAACCTCGCGTGCTTGCCAATCCATGATCTTTACCAGTTTAGAACTCCCAATTATTTTGATTTTTCATGCTTTCTGCCTCATTTGTGCGGTCATAGACTCCCTCCCATTCTTATAACAATTTATCTCTAGCCACCTCACCAGAATTAATAAAAAATAATTAAGTTATTAATTTCGTGATAAAAAAAAATAAGCTTTCAATTTTACCCATTTTAAATGACAGAATTTCAAATTTGCACTTGATTTTATCTTCTAATTAATGAGTTTAAATATGATTTATATTAAAAAACACAATTAATATAAGGAAAGGAGGGAATACTAATCCAATATCTCCTTTCCTTTGATATCAGATTAATGTGATGCCACCCCCAGCACTTACAGTGAAATTTTCTCACTTTTCCACTCTTCATCGATCACCACCGCCATTTTTCTCCAACCAGGTTTCAGCTGAAGCTTCCCCATATCATTTCTCATTCACCCAACTTTTCCATTCTGTCCTTTCTCGATTTTCCCCACTGTTTTATTTATTATTTTCTTAATTATTTGGAGGATTAATTTAATTTTTCAAGTGCCAGCCCTCTTGTACCTGTTTCCGTTATTATTTAATCATGCGTTAAATTAATTCTCATCATTAAACCAATTATGGCAATGATGAATGGGTCCGAAGCTGAATTTTTGGGAAGCCTCCTGCATGGCGGGACCAAATTCAGAAAAAGGTGTTCAAATCAGCGGAGCAGTGGTTACTCGGAGTCAACCAAAATGATAGCCAACGCCATAATCCCACGATGAAAGGCATAAAATTCAAGCATGCTGATCCCTAAACTAAATTCAATCACCTATCGTCTTTATCTAGAGAGAGAGAGAGAGAGAGAGGCCTAATTAACTTGAACTGCATCACCACCAAAGGGGAAGAACCAATGATGTTGGGGCTGCCCCGGAATTGAAATACCTGCACTCACCGTTGCTCTAATGATGAATCCGAAAATGGGAATTGATTTGGTCGCCTTATAGACTGCTGAGTGGCTTCCGAATTATAGTATATATTTGATGCTCAGCATTCATGGTTCTTGGTCCTGCCACTACCCCCCTACTTACCTCACTCCTACCCTAGCGCCAAAGCTTCATGAGGCGTTTCAATTTACACTGTATTTTCTACCCAATTAATGGTTGTTCAATTGTGGGGACTAGACACCATAAGCATGTCCCAGGATGCTTGGCTTGTTCTAATCTTGCTCCAAAGACGGAACGGCTGCAGAAAACTACACCAGCGCAGCTTGACCATTAAAATAAGCAAAGCTTGCGGCTTACAAAGGATGATAATTCAAAAGTAAGCTTTCGAAGATAAGGGGAAAAGCCAAATAAATCCAACACTTTCCTTTCCGCGTTGGCATCTCTCTCTCTCTCTCTCTCTCTCTGGTGGGCACCTCCTTTATTCCTTCTAATCATCAATTTAATCTTGGATCCTCTTTTTTGAGGCTCTGCCTGACTTAAATACGCAAATATAAAGCCCGCAGCAGCGCAATAATTATGGTCATCTTGATATGATTAGAATCGTAGTGGTGCTTCCAATTCGCTGAATTTGCAAGATCCCCCCCGCCCCACCTCACCCCAACAAAATCATGTAGGCTCGAGCTTGCGTGTTGATTTTAATCTACGCTTCATATGATATGCTTTGCCAGACTTGTGGATTTCCTCCATGTTTTTCCCTGAATACTTTGAGTATCTCAAAGTTTTCTGTGTTTCTCCTAGTTTGCTTCATTTATCGTCCCGAATTGAGCACTAGAGAAACAGATATAATTGTTCAACATTCGCAAACTAAATATTGCCAATGACATGTAAGAGAAAATCTATCTTCAGCTTTTGGTGGTTGAATAGTTTGTAATTTACAAGAGAAAACGAGTTGACTTGTGGAGTTGAACGAAACATATTACAAGTGTCGTACAACCTCGTAAAATTCTCTTATCTGTTGATGGTGCATGGAACTGTCTAGAGATGCACAAATTATGCTCTGTGGAGTTCGAGAGGCTCAATTATATATAGGGAATAGGATATAATGCTCAATGCTGTGAATGAATCCACTGAGGTGGAGATCGTTCTAATTACCATTGAAGCAAATGATTAGTCAATACTCGGGAAAAACAGGGAGACAAGGAGCATATTAAGGAAAAGCCAGAAGCAAAGTTTGAACGAGAGTGGTCCCACCCGTCCACCGAGCGTGCTAATTTACCTCAATCATAAGGGAAGCTAATTGTGATCCTGCTCTACATTTTCTTTCTTCTTTTATTTTTAAAGTGAAAGATTGAGTGCACGCTTCTCCCTTTTTTGACTACCAAAAAGGAGTCGTTCACCAAATTCTTTTACCAGCGCGAGACAGTTTGATTTTTTTTTTTTTAAAAAATCCTTTTTTAATCCTAAAATCTTCATCCTAATATTACCACGATATCGAGCTTGATCTCACCACAGTTCACTGCTTGTTTCTCTCTTTTTACGTTTAAGGACTAGTAATTTGTTTCTATTTTATCAGATTTTTTTTAAAAGACCAATAATACGACAGTAAATGACAATGTCAGATTCTAAAAGGTTTCAGTACAAGGGATTAGTAGTCTTCCCACTATATAAAACTGATACTTTTGTCATGCTTCCAGGAAATGCGCGCCATGATTGAGTTTTTTTAAATTTTTAAAAGAATTAAATAAAAGTCTCCCTTAACATAATTAGTTACTTTTAAATCTAATATATTTTCCTGAACTCCAATTCATAAATTTAAAAGTAATTAATTATATTGAATGTGATCTTAAAAGTAATTCTCTATTTTTCTTTCTTCTTTTGTTGCCTGCTTTTTAATCCCACCAACCACAGCACAAGTTGGGACAAATTTAACTGGGAAAATGTCTCAACCAGAATCGGTTCACCGTCAACGTTACTGCTAGCTCCAACACCATGTTTTGAGTACGTGATGGTCTATTTAATTTTCATTTTCTTCTGTCTACAACTTACAATCAAATTGAAATTTCTCAAAATTATTCTACTCTAATTCCCACTTTCACTTACCAACCTCTTTAAAGGGCTTTGCAGCCAAACGAGAACAAAAAGAAAAAAGAACAGGGCGGGGAGAGCAAGTGCACACTACAACAGAAGCTAAAAAGAGGAGATCATTTTGACACATTTGTTTCTTCAACTCATTCGGTAAGATCTCGATTCTCTAAACCCAAAGTTCGAGCTCAGCCCTTCATCAAAGGGCTCAATTTTGGTTATTTGTCATCCCTGCAAAGGAAAGCTTCCAATCATCTTAGAGGAAACAGAAGCAGTAACGGTTTCTTGCTTGCTGGGTTTCCGACTTTCCGTTCCATGTGCAAAACTCGCGTATTCAAGCCATGTCAGGTCTTTGAACTGGAATGCTAGAGAGAGTTGTTTAGAAGTATTTACAAGATACCTACTTATTTTCCACAGTGGTCCCTGCTTTCCTCTGTTTCAGTACAGAGCGACATTTGACTAATACTAGGTAACTTGAGTTTGACGTCTTCCACGAGAGTAAATTCCTTTCTGCTCGCTTCTGGGTATGGTTTGATTCTGTGTAGGCATTTCCACAGGCTCATAATCTCGAAACCATGTTGCCCCAGAAACAAGCCGAAGAATCCATGATGTCAAGCCTTAATCAGACGATTGAGCGCGAAGAAGGAGAGGGAGAGGAGGAGGATAGTTCAGCTTTCAGCCTCAAAAGTCTTATCTGGCATGGTGGGTCAGTCTACGATGCTTGGTTCAGCTGTGCATCAAATCAGGTAATGAACACGAAATTCTAACTCCTTAAGGATTCATCCGGAAGTTGTGAGAGATTTTCAAATCATTTTCCGGTTTTGCTCTCCGCAGGTTGCCCAGGTTCTGTTAACTCTGCCATATTCTTTCTCTCAACTGGGAATGCTTTCAGGCATCATACTTCAAGTCTTTTATGGCCTTCTAGGCAGCTGGACTGCTTATGTAATCAGCATTCTGTATATCGAGTACAGAAGCCGAAAGGAGAAAAAGAACGTCAGCTTCCAAAACCATGTCATTCAGGTTAGTCATAGACAAAACCATTTGACTCTGGTTTTCTGTTTAGATCAAGTGTTGGAGCTGTTAACTCAAATATGAGCAGTGGTTCGAGGTGTTGGATGGTTTACTGGGTCCATACTGGAAGGCAATAGGATTGGCCTTCAACTGTACTTTTCTTCTGTTTGGATCTGTTATCCAGCTTATAGCCTGTGCAAGGTATTGAAGCAGAGTGTTGGTTTTCTCGGGTACACAAACACACACGCGCACACACACACACACGGGATATCGTTCACAAGAAGTAATGGCCTGGGCTTCATTTTGCAGCAACATATACTACATAAATGACAGACTGGACAAGAGGACATGGACTTACATATTTGGAGCATGCTGCGCCACCACGGTGTTCATACCTTCATTCCACAATTACAGGATTTGGTCCTTCCTAGGGCTGGGCATGACCACCTACACCGCCTGGTATTTGACCATCGCGGCTATTGTTCATGGCCAGGTAAATATTTCACATTGCCGAAGCCCTCCTTCAATGTGAAACTCCATTTACAAGAACGTTTTGCAGGCCCAACATGTGACGCACTCCGGCCCAACCAAGTTGGTTTTGTATTTCACGGGCGCCACCAACATTCTCTATACTTTCGGCGGGCACGCCGTCACCGTGTAGCCTCTCTCTCCTTTCTTTTTCTTCTTTTAAATAGGAGCGAACAAAATATCTTTTTGGCCTTTCCCTGTTGAATTAGTCAAATCAATCATGGTGCTCCTCTTTATTGCAAGTAGAGGGACTAACCAACCCATGATCTACGGCGGGGGTAGTAATGGTAATAAGTAAAAGAAATAGATTAAATAATTCAAGGATGGAGTGCGTGGCTGGGTAAATGCAGATTCTGAGAACGAGGTGATGACTGGTGCAGGGAAATCATGCACGCTATGTGGAAGCCTCAGAAATTCAAATACGTGTATCTCTTTGCGACTCTGTACGTGTTTACCCTGACGCTGCCATCTGCAGCAGCCGTGTACTGGGCCTTCGGTGACAAGCTTCTCGACCACTCCAACGCCTTCTCCCTCCTCCCCCGCTCCCCTTGGCGTGACGCCGCCATCATTCTCATGCTCGTTCACCAGGTACACATTTCGATCCTCGTTCATCACTTCACGTAACGTCTCTATCTCTTCAAGTTGAAATAACCCCACGCCACAATTGGCAGTTCATCACGTTCGGGTTTGCTTGCACCCCGTTGTACTTCGTGTGGGAGAAAGTGATAGGAATGCACGACACGAAGAGCATTTGTGTGAGAGCCCTGGCTCGCTTGCCCGTGGTGATACCGATTTGGTTTTTGGCTATCATTTTCCCTTTCTTCGGCCCCATAAACTCGGCGGTCGGAGCTCTTCTGGTCAGCTTCACCGTGTACATCATCCCTGCTTTGGCCCACATGCTCACTTACAGGTCCCCGTCGGCACGACAGAGAGCGGCAGAGAAATTGCCGGCGTTCGTCCCGAGCTGGACTGTGATGTACGCAGTGAATGCATTTGTGGTGGTGTGGGTGCTGGTGGTGGGCTTTGGGTTCGGAGGGTGGGCTAGCATGGCCAATTTTATCAAGCAGGTTGACAACTTTGGTCTATTCGCCAAGTGCTATCAGTGTCCCTCCAACCGCACTTCTCTTCACTGATGCGTCGCTCTCGCCCATTACTCTTGTGTGCTCTGTTCTTTTCCCTTTACTCTTTTTGGTTAATCCTGGGGTATATACATACTTTTCTGTCTTCAATGCTCTTGTTTCCTTGTACTCTTAATTTTTGCATTCGATGACTTGAACACACAACCAGATTGCCGTGCTGAGGGAGATGTTCCCATCATCATTCCACTTGAAGACGCAATCAATAAGCTTCATTTGTTGCTTATTCAGTTCTATTTTATGTTTCTCTGGGAGTTGGACCGCATGCAGTGCATGTTTCTAAAATTCATGAATTGCAAAGGTATAGTGATGATTAATGATTATGAATCTATAATTATAGAGGGTCTGCATGTGAATAGAATGGCGGATCGTTAGAACAGAAACTCCGTAAATCGCGATATACGGCAATTGAAAAGGAGGATTTACAAAAGCACAAACTGGAGTGAAGTAAAAGTGATGATGGTAAGGCATTATATTATCAGTAAACTCTGTATGTTTGAAATTGGTTTATTTTTCCTTTGTCGTTGCGGGAAATTTTCTTCATCGTCGTACTTGTTTTGTATGGCCAGGGTATTCCTCGGTATCTCCAGGACCTGCGATGAAATAAAGATAATGGAGATATCGCTAAAATTTCTTGCAAAACAGCACCAACGTAGTCGCCTTTATTTTGGGGTGGTTTTAGTAGAATTTGGAAAATTGAAGAACACTTGTTTAGTTGAGAGTCGAAATTTTCATTGCAAGGCTCAGCTGTGGCGGAAGTCAAATGGGCGTGCCTACTTTTCAGGTCTCAAATGAAGGAAGAGTAAACACAGTCACGTCGCCTCCTTCTGTGTTGTTTAAATTATAAAGATTTCCTTCCTATTTTCAAAACTTATATTTTAGTTCAATTATTAATATCAATACTGTTTAAAATATTCTATTAGAAATTTTAATATATCTAATTTTTTATTTGTAAGTATGTTAAAAATTTTAAAATTATTATTTTACCCTTATAATTTAATTGTATGCTCTCTCTCCCAATTTTTAAAATTTTAAATAATTACATCGATATTTAAATAAATAATTTTAATTGAAATAATAAAATTTAAAATATAAATTATATTGAGTAATTTATTATATTGAATCCTATTATTTCATTAAGTTTTTTCAACTATGTCTTTAAAATATTATTTTTGCCAATTTGTGTATTAAATTTTAGAAGATGTTACTAAAGAAATATGTTTATATAACTAAAAAATAGAAATATAAGTTAAAAAAATATATGCATTAATTTTTTTGGTAATTTGAATCATTTTTAGATAACATGTAGTATATTTAAAGAAGGGGTATTTTAGTTCAACATATATAACTTAATAGTTAACTAATAGTTGGATAGATGAAAATAAAATTTTAAATATTAAGAGGAGTTTTTGTAAGTTTCAAAATTAAAAGCAAAATATATGTAATTAAGATAAAATGAAACCGAGGTAAGAGTACTTTACTCTTGAAGGAAATATACACTAGTCATAGTGACAAATAAAGGATTGCAAATACTAATAAACCTGACGCAGGGTGAATGACAAGGCAGAAGGACCTCGGAATGGAACAAGCATGGCAAAGGCAAAACCATCTAACGAAGGAAAGGCTCCATGCCCTGCATGCAGTGACTGGGTTTTTGGTTTGTCGTGATAAGATATTTCAATAGTAAATATTTTTACAAAAATTAATTATTTAATTTTTATAATTTTAATCCAGTTGTAACTCGATCTCTCAACTTTGACTCATTATAACTCAATCCTTAAAATTTTGACTTAATTTTAAATCAGTTCCTAAACTTTGCCTCTTGCAATTTAGTCGTTGAAGTTTCAACCTCTTACGTATTGGTCCCTATATTTTAAAAAATAAAATTAAAAAAAATTAAAATTTATAATATTTATAAATATTAAAAGGGTTTAAAAATTTAAAATATTAGTAATACATTTTAAAATATTTTGAATTTTGATAATTTTATTTTTTAAAATATAGGAACTAATATTTAAGAGGTTGAAACTTTAGGGACTAAATTGTAAGAGGTAAAGTTCAGGGATTGATTTACAACTGAGTCAAAATTTTAAAGACTGAGTTATAACGAGTCAAAGTTAAAAAACTGAGTTATAGTTGAGTTAAAACTATAAGGATCAAATGATTAATTTTTTCATATTTGTATAATCAAGTCAACAATCAATTTTTATTCATGTAAAAATACATCCAAAGCAGATAAGTTAAAACACTATATACATTCATTAACCTAACTTTGTCATTATATGTAAATTTTATAAACATTTTACGAACTAAATTTAAGGGTAAAAGGGTAAGAATACTCACAAAGTAGTCAGTTAGAGACACTCATTATCTTAAAGTGAGGAAAAAAGTAAAAATATTCATAACATTGCATGTATGAGTGCAAAAGTGACCAAACCGTTAACCTTGATTGTTAAATACTGATTATGTATATCATGTGTTAGTCTTTGTTAACGTGGATTAATAAAGGGGTAAAAATATCTATGAAATTATCGACCAAGAGCAAAAATACTCACGAAGTCATCAGTCAAGAGCAAAAATACCCATAATGTTATCAAAGTTAGTGCAAAAGTTACCAATTCATCAAATCCCTTAAATGTTGATTGTTTAGTTGATACTTAAACAAAAATTGATTATTTTTTTGCCGATATGGATAAAAATATTCTCAGATGGTGAAGAGGAATAAGTGTTATGATTTGGTGAACAAGTCATTATTCAAGAAAAAAATAAGTCACATTTTTATTTTAACAAAGATCAATTTTCTTATTAATAATTTCAAAAAGTTAACTTAATGGTGGGGAATGACGAGTGTTGTGATTTGGTGAGTAAGTTTCCATTCAAAAAAAATTTCATTTTTTATTTTAACAACAACAATTATTTCATTAAGAACTCCAAGATATTAACTTGATAGAGATGAATTATTATAATCTGGTAAACAAGTCTCTGTTCAAAGAAAAAAAGTCTAATTTCTATTTTAACAATAATTATTCTCTCATCACAACCTATATATAAGGATAGTTTTGTATTTTCATAATAAATTTTAATTATATTTAGGTTCTTTGATCTTGCAAAGTATTTAATTATGCCAAGTGATCCTTGATCATCATTTTCCTTTCGAGATTCAAGTAGTATGTGTTTGGATTAAAAAATTTACAATAGCGGTTAAGATTCAACTGAGGTCAGAAAAAAAGTCAGTGAATGTAATATGATTTATATTTAAATATTTTTTTTAGAAATAAGTTAGATAAATTAAAATTTCTTTAGATGATTTAAGGTAAAAGTCAATCGAGATGTTTGATGATAAAAATAAAACTAAAATTTCTTGTTTATATTTTTATTACTAATTAATAAGTAAAAATATTAAACTTAAAACTATAATTAATAACTAAAAAATCTTAATATTTAAAAATATATAATAAAAAAAATTCAATTCTAACTATATAATATTATCTAATAAAAATATTTAATTATGAAAAACTAAAAAAATTCATAAATTATTAAGTCCTTATATACCAAGATTTGGTGATGACATTCCTTCGCCATCTTCAATTCATATCGTAAGCAAGCATCATTCCTCTGCTATCTTCAATCCCAAGATCCCAATACTCTTAACTTTGACACATGATCAACGAATGGTGACAATGATCATTTCAATGCTGAGAAGCGCAAATTCGATAGAAGAAGAATGGATGACGGTGACGACACTCTCAAAGCAGGAATATTGTGTCGACCCAAAAAGAAGGGACGATAGCAAGCAAGAATCAACATAAGCAGCACATGTGGTTAAGATTAAACAGTAGCGGTGGTTTCGGTGACGGTGATCTCAAGTCAAATTTGGTAGTGCAAAGGAGAAGAAGGTGAAAATAATAAATGAAGCAGAGCAATGATTCAGGCAGTTAAGATAATAAAGAGAGAGAAGCAGCACGAAGGGGAAGGGACGACAGCAATGCGCATAGTGGAGATTAGGTCTTGCAGTAGTTGTGACTCTAGGTAGATCTGACAAGTGAAGATCAACTGAAAGGCTAGCAAGGGATGAGCTAGCATGGGGCGACAACAATGAAGGGCTTGGGTTCACATGGCTTGGGCAGCAGATAATGAGGAGAGAGGGAGGGAGAGAGTAAAATTTAAAAACCATTTAATGCTGCCAATGTTCATTTACCCCAACGCATATGAGAAAGCTAGGTGGATCAGCTTTATCTAAAATACTAGTTTGAAGCTAACTGTGGTTGAAATTTTTTTGCCATCCAAATATCAAAAATTGAGCTTTTAACATCCCAACTTAGATTTGAGCTATCCTAACCTAAGTTGGGATGTTATCCAAACATGGTCGTAGTATCAATTTCAAATCATTCATTCCCTCAGTCCTAAAAGAAAAATCATAGAGTCAATGTTAGGGCTTAATGGCAAATATGCATGATTGACGTGGATGAGATTGGGGATCATAAAATCACACTCCCTAGTTCAAAAATACTCCCTCCATTTTAAAATATAAAAAAAAATTATTTCATATAATTTATAATAATTACATATGCTTGGAATTTAAAAAATTGAATATGCATTATGTTATTCCTGTAATTAATTAAACAAGTTTGTTGAGTAAGCATGAACATTGATTTTATAAGGGATAATTTGATAAATATGTAATAAACATTTCTTAAAATTTATATTTTTTTGTGATTTAAAATTTAAAATTTTGTTTATAAATAAAAATAAATAGACACATGATAGTTTCTTTTATATTTAAAAATAGATAATATAAGATTTTTGTATCGAATTACATCCCTATAAATTTATTAATTATTTTTAAATTAATATTATCTTTTTATGTTTGTCTTTATTTAATTGCAGGGATGTTTTACTCGAAGGGGAAAGATTGAGTAATTTATTTATTAGAGATTTTTAATAGAACTCATTAATTATACATTAAAAAAATAAAAAATATCTTATACTTTTTAACATCTAACATCATAAAACCACAAGACTACAGAACCACGTGAACGAAGGCCAGAAGAACTACAAAACAACACCTACCAGAGGTAAAGGAGACTGAAGGGACTTGTGGGAGGAAACTGAAAGATTGGTAATCCATATGGCAAAACATGAGAAAGACGGATTGCTTAAAACCAGAGGAAATTGAGCCCACCCATACAATGATCGACGGACTCGTGGTACTAAAAACCTCATTAGATGAAAAGGTTGTTGACTGGCAGACCCCTCAACGTACATTAGTCAAAAGCCCCTATCAACTCAATCGGGAAAGGGAATCGACTTAATATTTTTTAAGGAAAAAAACAATTGGTATGTGTATAGTTAATTGTTGCTGTGCAATGGTGTATACTAGGATTCTCAAAGTTATACGTACATAATTATAGATTATAGACATTGAAACATGAGTTGTGTCGTATGTATTGTATATTACCTAATAAAAAAACACATTTTTATATCAAATAATATGAACTTCATAATTCTTATGTATTGTAATTAATCAAAGGGCAAAACTTATATACTTAAGATTAAATCCTTAATATACTTTCTTCCAATAAATTGATGCCACTTGGATGATTTGTCCAGCTCACCAATTAACTCTCCTTAACATATTTTACACCATTAGCATTTAAAAAGGAAAGAAAATAAGTAAATTAAACCTAATTATTGTCCCAATCAATCCTTATCCCAATTATTCATCTCTCCACCGCTCTCTCGCTGTCTTCTTTTTTCATTCATCGTGTTCGTCTACCATTTGGTTAAATTAAAGAGACTGATAGAGATTGAGAGAATTGGCTTCATCAGAATATAGACGACACTGAGTACTTTTGACACTCCTTTATTGCCGCTTCAAGCTTTTAATGATTTTT